AGGAGGCGGCTTGTACGTGCGATCCGACTTGTTTGTCGGCTTGTCGCCCTCGCGCTCGGCCCCGCCAATATACCACGGCCGTGTGATATATATATATATATATATGTAGGTATGTGTGTATGATTTACGCCGTACGGATGTGTCTATTTCTATTTCCCATTTCCCGTGTACACCGTGTATACGGAGAGAGAGAGAGAGAGAGAGAGAGAGATGACAAATAACAATAATAACAATATATATCATATCGTGTACGTCGTCTGTACGCGTGCACCGCACATTATATTACTTATCGTCTCTCCTCCGAAGTCGCCGCGACAGTCGCTTTATCGTACATAATACCTAACATAATATTATTTATATTGTATACGCGTTATTCTTGTTATTAATACTGCGGGGATATAAGAATCGATATCTTTGCCTTCGCGTTTTTCCGGAGTTCCGCAAACAGTTCCGAGATCATAACAATAATACAGTCGTCTCCGATATTCCGACCAAAACGCCCTGTGACCCGCGGTACATAATGCAACTAACCTTTTAGTTGATCCTCGTATTAATAGCTTTAAATTGTAAATGTAAAATTAAATTAATTTACTATACAATATGAAGTAATGACTAAAGAGTGTTGAATAATGATTGCTATTGTAAATGATGTATTTAATTATAATTATATGATAATAATTAATAGCATACTATTAAAATATATTATATATAGTGATTACTAATTAGCAGGGTTATAGACTTATAGGAAAGGAGGTAGAGGGTGATGGGACAGATTGTATTTGATATATATGTTACTGAACCATCAGTATTATAATAGGCGAAATAATCTTTGCAACCGTAAATGTTGATGAAAGAGTTCTGGGTTAAATGAGTCATAGATGTTAGCATTATGTCGATATTATTATTTTGAAGTATAGAAAAACAGTTCGTCTTTTTGTTGTTGGTAGTGGCGACTGGCGGCGGGATATAATACTATTTAAAGCAATTGCTTCATAGCTTCATAGCTTCAACATAGTAAATTACCTATCATTTTGATGTAATAAAGGGGATGGTTGGTGGTAAAAATATTAAAAATGTACAGTTTGCTTCAAAGACTCAAAAAAATTTGTGCTGCCACTGTTGTTGGAGCCCATTAGCATTTTAAATGAGTTTAAGCATAGAGGAGTTATTATAAGTCATTTTTAGAGATTATTTTGTTGATAAGAGTGGTAATGAAACTTATAACTTATAAGTGATTTCAAATTTTCCAAGAAAGATGATATTGTTGTACAAACAATTTACAATTTTAAAATACTCTTAACTCTCTTTAAAATTTAAATATAATAAAAAGCCCACGAGAAGCCCTCCCCAATAATCTTATCTTTAATTTTAATTTTAATTTACTCTAATTTTTAAACTGACAAAGCTAAACATGATCTTCTGAGTGTACATTTTGGTATGTTAAGCACTTGTAAGACGGAGAAAGCACATGCTGGTATAACGTCCTTTTAATGACAATTTGAGGTTTTTAGATGTAGATTTAAATAAGAATCTTTCATTGATGGAAAACGATTTTATTTGATTACAGAATCAATGTACAAAATCAAATTATGATTATTATATTATTTTATTATATAGGTAGATACCTCCTATTGACCTGTTGGCTATTAGGTAGGTATACACACTTCAAATACACATACACCTATCATACAATCAATAGGTACGTATAATGATTAATGGTCGCATAATCCGATTTGTATACTGCACATTAAACATAGGCGATAATCACTCAACGGGCATACCTATTTCTATGGGATCACATGAGTTGCGTCCGGTAAAAAAGGTATACACGAATTGCGTCCCAAAAAATGCAGGATGCAATTCGTGTAATTAAATCAGGGGTTCTTAAATAACTAACAAAAATAACTAACAATTATAAATATAAAGTAAAAAAACGTTAAATCACTTAAATCCAATTAAAATTAATATAGTCAATAATATAATAAATAAGTTAATTAATTAATAATAATAATGTCAATAAAAATGTCAGTCAAAAATTAGGTTTATATTTATTAGATAAGCTTTTTACAAAATCTAACCTTGTTATTTTATTTTCGTTCAATTTTTTGATCTGATTTTCAACAAATAAAATATTGTTTTGGCGTTGTTTCCTATAATGACGTACAGAAATTAGCGAGCTTTTTATTAACATTACATTATCGGTTTGCATTATCTTTAAAACATCTAAAAATGTGTAAATATTTGGATGGAAACTATTAAAAAAACTATTAAATTTTTTGTGAAAAGACTCGCACGCGTTTGTTGTTCGCTGTAAACTTGAACTTTTTTCTGCTCATATTGATAGAGGGAAATTATAGTAATAACTTATCTGTACAACTGTCGAGTGTCGACTTTAGCTAAAATAGTTGTATAAATGAGTAAATTGGTAAATAAACAAAATTGCAAAAAAATTGAAAAAATCCCAAAAATTACAATAAATTGCACTTAAAATTTTTAGATTTGAATTTCTACTTACTAAAAATGTATTTAAAACTTACTTGGTAATAAATTGAAAAAGTAGAAAAAAGTTGCAAATGCAACATCATCGGTGGCTTACTTATAGTTAATATACCTTTGAGAACCCCTGAAAACGAAATAAAAATTCTACTACCTATCCCATATAGTGGGACGCAATTCATGTATACCTTTTTAATGGGACGCAACTAAGGTGCCCCGATGTCAATTGCGCCAGAAATCACAGGTAATTAAAAAAAAATTTTGGGATTCAAAAAGGTTATACATCAACTGCGCCGGACGATATTTAGGTCCAAAAAAGATTATACATTAATTGCGCCGGCAATACTGAAGTTGAAAAATAAGCTGATTACACACTAGGCGATTTGAACGTACTCGTCTACGTTCATATTACACACGGACGATTTAAAATCGCGATGTTTTAAACTGTACATACTATACAGTATACGTTATCTATCTACATGCAATAAATTGGTCAAATCGGAATATCCGCTAATAAAAATGAGATAACATGATAATATGACGGTACTATCAATATGTTTCAATTTGTGAAGTCGGTAAGTCACCATTACAAATTTTAATACTTTTTGACAATTTATTCATATGTAATTTATCAGCGTTTATTTATATGTGTTTTAATTTTTTCAATTTTTAAATTACACTTTTTTTTATGTGTTTGATAATTATATTATAATCTAATACTAGTATAATAATATGATATTTTATATTTTATAATATCTTCCTGGATTTGTGATAAATTTATTGGCGCAAAAGACGTATACCATTTTCGTTTGGGATAAATCCACCGGCGCAAAAGATGTATACATTTCAGGTAGTCTAGAAAAATTGGCGCAATTGACAAACACCGCACTCAACAATATTAGGAGGGCTTAGAGGGCAAAACAAATGTTTAAGGAAACAGAACCACGCGGGGCTTTACCCCACACACTCTTCGTTTATCGATACTCCTTATCCATTACATTTGATATATCTCTATAAACAAAATAAAATAAATTATAGATTTAAACCGATATTATACACGGCGCTGTGAATTTTTTTGATATTTTAAAATGTTTTACTACGTTAAATCCACAGCCATAATTATAACAATTTATGCAAAACAAATTATTATTTGTTTATGTAGGTATATGGTAGGTATATTAAGCGAAACTTCCATATTACGAGTTCTCATATTATAGGAAACAAAATAAATTTGTATAATAGAAAACTTCGTTTGATAGAATCAAATAAATTCGGTTCTTCTTAATTTAGTTTGGTTCTCAAAAATATTTTACATAACAGAACATTTTTTTAAATGGAAGTTCGTCCTTATGGAAGTTTCACTGTAATTTTATACGCTAGAAATGTAATTACAATAAAAACTTGTTTTTCAGAAAATAATTCAATTACAAAGAACTACCTACTTACCCATATTTCTTTCTATGTAGATAATCGATGAGTCCGAATGTCCGATAGTCTATCTTCTCCCATGTAAATAGTACGTGCACTCGTGCACAAGATTTTTAATTATTATTTAAGATAATCACGAGATTTGGAGTGCTAGTATAAAAATTCAGAGTGATCTGTGATTTGAGTCTTTGAGTTATGACCTTAAACCTTTGTACATAGATATAATTTTTATAAATCTATATTGCCAGCTTATCTCGACATTTGCACAAATAGTACTTGTGGTTTGTGGGGGGGGGGGGGGTAGGCTGAAGATTTTGATACAGAGATTAAAATGTTTTAACATATTATATTTCAATGTTTTGTAAAATCTTCTGATTTTCTTGGAGGGGGGGGGGACTAAGCATTAATTAATAAGTAATATTTAGGTACTATTTACTATTTAGCATTTACATTTTAAAGACGTATTGGTATTATAGTGTATACAAATAAAAGCTTTTCAAACCAAGTATTGCAAAAAAAAAACAAGCGCAGGCCTAAGAGAAATTTCTGAAACTAACATTTCTTTAAGAAAAAATATAGTAATAGATATATAAGTTTAAAATTAAATTAAAAAAACAAATGATTTGATATTTATAGTCACCTATTCTATGTATTCGTATGACCTTATTCTGCAAGGGTATTATCAATACATCATCATTCATCACAATAAAGTTTGATTTTATTCGTTTATGCACCTACAATCCTGACTCATCAATGTTTTTTCTAAATATAGTGTTATGAATTCAGTCATAACAACTAAATGAGAAGAAACTGTTGAGTCTATGAGAATGCTGTACACTTCAGATAATTTTCAGATAATGTAGGCCCTTTATACTACATAATATAAATATGGGAACATTACGAAGATGATACAATCATATTAATATATTAAATATTTATATAACAGCTAAAAATTAAAATCTTCAAGTTGTAATCGAATGACATTAACGAATTTGCCCTAAAAGTTAAGACACACATATTGTTAAAAATAAAGAAAATACTCAGAAATCTTCTTCAAAATTTTTCTTTATTATTAAATGTATAGAATAAAATGTGACAATGAGCAAAAAAAATATACATATAAAAAAATCCCAATGTACAGAATATTATGAAAAAAATAATATTAATACAATCAGATTTATCTATCATACGCAGGGCTGCCCAGAGGATTTGCGGGGCCCAAGGAAAAAACCAATCGCAGGGTCTCAAAATCTTATGACTCATAAGATAACAATCAATAATGATAAAAAAAACAGTAAAAATTAACAGGAACAAACATCTGAGTTTAATTTTATCTGTGAAACCATGCTTTATACTTCAACTTCTTGGTGCAGCATATTCTAATTTCAACAATTCATAATGTGCCTGATCCTGGAAAAAAATAACATTTAAGTTAGGAAAAATATATTATCATGAACTGTCTAGTTGAATGAACAATTATTATTATTGAACTAGACATTATGTCAAAGAAAGAGTGAAATCTTTTAAGTGAAATTGGTGTTACAAATTCAAATTTGTATAAGTTTTTATGGATAACAATATGAATATGTGTCAACAAGAATATTAACACTTGGCACACTTAGAGTTTATATATATATAATTATGATTGGCAAGTAACTGTGCTGAGGCTGGTCATGTTTTAGTAAAAAACCAGCGAGACTGAGGAAGCGAGATTGAACTCGTTTGACCAGTTAAATTTTGATCTGAAGGTGTGGATCTATCAATCCATAATTCAAGATTGATCTAACAAGGGTACAATATAGAGCGACTAAACAAGGGCTGAGTTGAATTCAGTAGTATGACGTCAAATAAATCCTAAAATCCTTAGTGCTTTACAGGAAATATAATCTATATGGGATCTAAAGGATAAAGTCGGTGAGTATATGAATCCAAGATCTTAGTTTCTAGGAGTGGCTTTAGAGGTGTCTCGTTGAGAGTATAACTGTAATCTACAAACAGACAAATCTGTAAAATGACATGACTTAACATTTTTCTTCAATGATAGTTAGGCCAACCGTTTGGCACCAGATTATAAAACCATTTAATGATGATTGAAGGGCATGGCCATCGCTTATAAAAAATATCCTAGCAAAGAACTTAGCTTTGTGGGCGAAAAGTAAAATATGACAAGAGGAAGAATTTCAAAACTGGTCATAATGGAGCAACCAAGAGAAAAGTCATGTTAGTCAATAAATAATGTAGGTAAGAGAACTCGTTCGATTCTTTTAAGGACCAAATGTTCCAAAAGCTTCCCAGTTATGAAATATCAGTGATACAACAAAATAATTTATAAATTGTTCATAAAAGAAGAATTAATTTGAAGTGCAATACTTCTTTTTTAAGTTATATTTTTAATATTATACAATTTAAATTAATTGTGAATAGATTTTTTGAATATATTGTTATGTATACTTGGTATAAAGTAATTTTATTTTTCTGTGGTGAAAAGTCAACTTCAAGCTTTATAAAAAAGAAACATGTACATAACGTTATAGGTATAGTATAATAATATAATCTAGTATAATTTAATACCTCGGCTGATACTGAAGGTCTAGTTTTCATCATGGCTTCATCAAAGTGCTTACTCTGGATTGCCAATTGTTTATTCACTTCATTTGAACTTATATACTCCTGCAGACACAAAATGCCTGCCTCTCGCACAAGAGCAGCTAAATCAGCTCCAGTAAAGTAAGAACATTTTTCATTTTTGCCAATCGCTTCCAGGTCTACATCATCTGCCAACACTGGTCTTTTACGATTCTAAAAATACAACCATAAGTGATTAGTATTAAAATTGATTGACCTATTTTTCCTTGATAAATCCTTTATACTTTAGTCACTGCTTTTAATATGTCCACACGTCCTTCTTCATCGGGCAATCCAACATATAATACTTTGTCCAAACGTCCTGGTCTAAGTACAGCAGGATCAATCATATCTGGCCGATTTGTTGCTCCCATAACAAAAACGCCACCACTTCTACCACCTTCAAATCCATCCATTTCAGTTAATAATTGATTGACAACGCGTTGACCAGAACGACCATTTGCCTAAACATAATAAACTATTCTTTAAAATATCCATAAACAAAACTGATGTCAATTATACATACATCCATGTCACTTCTTTTAGGACAAAGTGCATCAATTTCATCAAAAAATATGACGCAAGGCTGTGAATTACGTGCTCTTTGAAAACACTGACGTACTCCTCGTTCACTTTCACCAACATACTATACATAAAAATAACAAAGTTGATTAAACTATGCAAAATTGAGTAAGTACATTATATTTACCATGTTCAATAATTCAGGGCCTTTAATAGATATAAAATTAATACCAGCTTCATTTGCAACAGCTTTGGCTAACAATGTCTTACCACAACCTGGTGGTCCACATAGTAGTACTCCAGTTGGAACATCTAAACCCAATGCAGTGAATTCTTTAGCATGAGTTACAGGAGCCTAAAACAATAAAATACGTTCTTATACTACAAATTGTGTAATACATTATATAAAATAAAATAATAATATCAATATACTGACCAACATAGCCATGTGCAGTTCTTCTCTTATTTTCTTTAGAGAACCAATATCATCCCATGTAACATTGGGCACTGTAACAAATCCTTCTCTTTTGGATGAGGGGACAACTTTCTTCAGAGCTTCTTCAAAATCGTTAAATACAATTTGAATTTCACTCACTTCCTCCATGGGAATAAAACTATCGGAGCGAAGCAATTTCAATGTGTCTTTGATTTGATTCTTATTTGATGATAACAACTGTTCTGTCTCATCAGGCTTATCAAAATCAGATATTACTTGCAATCTCTTTTTTATAGATTCAATAGTTCTATTAAAATAAATTAAACAAAATAATAATTATTGTATAAGTACCGACCGCACCTTTACAATAGCTAATGGCCATAGTTGCCAGGCTTAAGACCAATAAAAAAATAAAAATTTTAAATCTTTAATTATCCAAGGGTGTGTATTCTTTACAGTTACATAATATTTTCCTTATGTTGATTATGGAGTTTAAATTGATACAAATTGTATTGTACGACAATATTTTTTAATATTAAAAGAATATCCCTAACTACTTTTTATTTTTTATGTATCCCTTGGTCAATTATCTGAACAAATTGATGATCCAAAATCCAAACACTACAGGGAATAAGTTTGGATTGTTAAATTTACTAAACTGAAAGTGCAAATGTTATCAACAAATTTGATAAAGAAAATATACAACTTAAAGTTTGTTCTAGGAGATACAAACTTCTGTTTTTCAAAAAGAACTCTCCAAATTTACTATAAATTAATTAGTGGATAATTTTTCTGAAAATTTTAACACATAAAAATTTAAAATGGATAGTTATTGAGTTATATTTAACCTTCTGTATTAAGGGTAAGAGGTTTATGATGGGTTTGGAAGTTATAATCAACATTTATAATTTGTACAAATGGTACACATATTATAAACACCAGATAATAGATCCAATAATACATCTATTATATATTTTTATAAAACTTATTTTTAAGGATTATTATCTACAGTAGGTATAAAAATTTAAGTAACTGAAAAAATAGTTGTTCGAATTTTGAATTAAGTACATAAAAATTTTAAAACAATCATCCATTGAATAATTTATAGTACAAAAGATGGGTTCTCATTTGAAAAAACAGAAGTCTGTATCACCATAAGTGTATTAAGTGGCCTAATAAATCTTGAAAATTTGAAAATATGATCTTAAAAGTTAAAGTATACAGTAGAACCTTGATTATCCGAACCTCTGTTATACAAACCCTCTATAATCCGAACTATAATTAGCGTATCTGAACGTTCTGTTATCCAAACATGAAAACTTGTATCCAGCCGGCCGTTCGGTTTATCGAATTTGTCATGAAAGGCAGCAGAAAAGCATGTTGCAGCTCATTGTCAAATTAAAATTGATAATTTTGACAAAAAAATATAATAAATAAAATAAATGTAATGTATTTCTGTTAATGTAATGTATGTAATTCTAATAAAATATTAATAATAATAAACATTTAATTATAAAAATAATAAATAATTAATGTACATAATATTATAAAAGTTTTTAATTTTTTAATTTCCAATATCCAAACTTTTGCATACACGAACGTCATGAACTAGGTGCTGTCCCAATTAGTTCGGATAATTGGGGTTCTACTGTACTTAAAAATTTGAATAAATTCATTACTAAATTAAAAAATGGGGTTGAGCATGCTTGGAGAATCGCTCTGTATAATCATACAAAATAGTGTAAAGTTTTACAAAACTTCACATTAACTTATTAAAATATTAGAAATTTCAAATTATATATCATTTTATATACTAAGGAATTAATTACTATTAGTTATAAAATATAAACCTATTAGCTGCTACAGTGGCTGCTTCTCTTGTTAAGGATTTCAAATCAGCACCAACATAACCTGGTGTTAATTCACTTAATTTATCCAAACTGACTGTTGGATCAATTCGTAAATTTTTACACATGAGATCTAACATTGCTCTACGAGACTGTCTATCAGGAATACCAAGGCAGACTTCACGATCAAACCGGCCAGCTCGTCTCAGTGCTGGATCTAAACTGTCAGGGCGATTCGTAGCACCAATCACAATTACTTTGTCGTCATCCTTCAAATCTAAAACCAAATTCATAAACAATTAAAAATAATAATAATTATATAATAAATTAGTAATCTCACTATCTAAAGATGATAGTTATTGAGCAACAATTCTACGTTCCATATCGCGTGAAGTGGTTTCTCTATGTGGAGAAATTGAGTCTACCTCATCAATGAACAGTACACAAGGTGCTGATTTAACAGCAGTTTCAAACAGTTTTCTCACTCGTTTTTCTGACTCTCCGCTTATACCGACGACTAGTTGTGGAGCAGCAATGCTTATTAATGGAATCTTTAGTTCCTACAATTTAATCAATGTTAGTACAATACAGGGTTAATGAAAAATAAAATATGGATTTACATACTCCTGCCACTGCCTGTGCTAAGAGTGTTTTACCACATCCAGGTGGTCCGTGTAACAAAAATCCTTTTGGAGGAGATACACCTAATGTCTTATAAACTTCTGGGTGCTTAATATGCATAATTAATTGGCATATTTCCTAAACATAAGTAAAAATATAGTCAAATTAATAAAACTACGTAAGACTGACTTATTATGATCAATTCTGTTCAGTACCAATAACACGGAATCACATCCAGCTAAATCATCAAATGTTAAAGTGACTTCTTCTGCAGTAGCTAATTTTTGGCAAACTTTTTTTAGAGGTGTTGGCATTCCATCGACAGTCTTATCTAAATTACTTTTTCTTTTTTTACTTATGAATGGCTTCTTGTCTATTACCCAACCAGGCTATAAATGAAAAATTAAATGATAGTCTAAATTTTAAATGTTAATACATTATAAATTTAAATACCATATTTTCAAAGTCGTTAGGACAAGTGGCTGACTTATTGCTACCGCCGTTAGTAGTTATATCACAGACAAAAGAATTTGATCCAACTCTAAAATTATATACCACGTAGAATAAACACTTCAATACACTAATTTAGGTATAATGTTAATTCTGGGTTGCATAAAAAATCATTTAACATACAATGAATCAATTATGAGTTTATGGTCACATAAATTAGTGGCTCATGATAGATCAATTACACTTTTACAAATTAATCAATTATATATGCAACCAGCAAAACTATTAAATAAACATAATTCTTACTCTTGGGTTTTTTCAGAAGCTGAACTGTTTATATCGGTAATGTAATGGTTCAAATTTTCTGGAGGATCCAAATCGTTTGTAATGTCGATATGCTCATCTCCAGAAGACATTATGTCAATAGTTGAGCCTTCCGATGATACGTCTTCTACCGGTTTGCCATCTTTTATATTATCGAGTACAGCTAATGCTAATAGAAATCAAACGTTACGAGACATAAGAGGATAATAAATAATATTACAAACCTCTAGCAATTAGATTTGACATAACACCCCAAGGTTTTCTATTATACTCTGGATACTCTGATCGCAAGGCATTAACAATTAGTTCTTTATCCAGAAATCTTCGTTTTCTTGTAGATTGCATAAATTGGTTCAAATACTATAAGAGATAAATGTCATTTATGTACTCTAATATATTTTATACAAATTAATTACCTCTTCAACGCGGGGTATGATAAATCGATCAGAGTATTGAACATCCTGCAATGACGTCTTAGTCAAATATTTTAAGCTGAAATTTGTCTGCAAGTCGAAATGATGCAAACGCAACATTTTGAGAGTAGTATAATCCCACACCAATTTTTATTTTTCAATAATTATTGATGGTAATATAATTAATAACACCCACGCTTGTAAAACAAAAATTTGAAAATTGTTTGAAAAAAAATTCGAAATATGAAATGTCTGATGAAGATGAACAATAATATGTGATAACGATAAGCGAGTAAGCGATGCGACATGGACACATAACCTAAAAAAATACGCAATCGAAAGAGATGGGTATTATCATTTTGTGTAACGACTAACGACTATAATTCTTTATCGTAATTTTTAATCATCCCTACCTATTAATGTCATTTAAATTTTAATTAATAAATATTATGTTCTAACTTCTAAACTTCCACGTTGCTATTCTCCCCGTTCGTCTTTTTCTCAAAATCGAATCACAGACCGCGGCATTGAAAAATGTATTAGTAATTAGTACCTATTGTACATATTATAATAATATGATATATTTCATATTTGCACAAATAACTAATAAGTGTTTAATTTTAATATTTTAAGCTTTTAAGCTATAGTTTGAATGCTCGATCTTTTTCACACGCTGATGTCTGATGTACATTATTGTCTATGCAATGTGCACACGGCCACACCGCAATGTAGTACCTCGTACCATTCTTTATAAATAGGTACTACTTACTACTTTACTAGTATTTAAAATCACTGCTCGTACATATCAAACGTAGAATCCATCGTATCAGGGGAAGTCCAGTACCCATAATCATGGGCGCCGCGAAGGGGGTGCACTTGCACCCTCCTAGGTTTTCAAAAAAGAAAAAATTAAATTAAAAAAATTGAATGGTATTGAAACTGTTTTATTTCATATAATTATCTACATTATTTCTATTATTTGTTATTATACTTATTTTACATAATTGTCTATAAATAATAAATATTATTATTTATTTAAATTATGTAATATAATACTTATTTTTTAAATAATAAAGGTAAACGCCAAGGTTTTTTTCCGAATTCTTCAATTTAATTTCTGATTTTCTAATCGTAGCCATTAGCCCGCGTTACATTGTAGCCATTGAAAAATAAAACTAAAATAACTTTGTATCGTTGTACAATTTGAAACAATATTTTTATGTATTTAAGTAGGCATTATTATAATTACTAATTATTATTAGGTAGAAAGCCTTAATATTAATTAAGTCTGAGCACTCTCTCAAGTTAAGGGGATCGGTGGCAGACAGTTATTTTAGCCAAAACATACCAATCTTTTGTCCATCATAATTATCGACCTAGTAATACGATAAATGATAATACTTTTTTAGAACTGATTTGAATTTGTTCTTATGTCTTCTTGAGATCAGTCAGTTTACTTTTCCCAATTGCATCCCCTAACAACTATAAATTGTGTGTAAATATTTTAACGGAAGTACCTTCACTGGACGGTTTCTTCCCTCAACACACTTAAGCCATTGCACTCAATTGTCTCAATTTAAACATACATTATGCTTATTGTACTTTTTTTCTCTAATATAGATTGTATAATATCCTAGGTTAGATCCTTTAAAAAAAAAGAGAATATTTTTTATTTTGGAATTTTCACTTACTACGCACACATTTACAAGACCCGTGTGTATGCAATTTAAAAATTGTCTATTTCGAACTCCTTAAAAACTGTCCACCACCGATCCCCTAGTTTCCTATTACTGCACAGTGCACACATTCAAATGAAACGCTCTTAGAACGTTGCCTATGTTAAGCCCCTTTAAAAGTAATCGGTATCAAATCAATAAACAACATTTTCTTTTATAAAACAATAATTGTCTTTTGTGGTCTTGTTGTTCAATGTTCAATGGAAATCAATTTACCAGTGGACTACTACTCCTATTGAAAATAGAAATCAAAATAGGTTTCAAATTAATAAAAATGTTGGTTATAAATGTACCATTCCTAATAATATAGAGGTATGGTACAACAAAATAAATAACTAAACATGAATGATTATCTCCTGTAGGCTATAATAGTTCTATACATTTTAGATGTGAACAACTAATAGTCTTTTAATGTGTAGGTTTTATGTATAAGTAAGAATTAAGGATTTAAAATTTTTTGGTTCCTTAATTTTTTTTTTTAATTTCTTAATTATAATTTCAGTTAAACAGTGCTCTATTTATTTTATACATTAATTATTTATCGGTTAATGGACATAGGTATAGGCTATTTTAAGCCCTCGCTATTTTTATTTTATTTTCATATTATCGTTTTATTTATTGGATAAATTAAATAAGTAATTTTTGATAACATAGTAATTAGTACACTGACCGTCTTCATTTTCAGAATTTCGCAAGGCATTAACAATTAGTTCTTTATCCAGAAATCTTCGTTTTCTTGTAGATTGCATAAATTGGTTTAAATACTATAAGAGATAAATGTCATTCAATGTACTCTAATATATTTTATACAAATTTATTACCTCTTCAACGCGGAGTATGATAAATCGATCAGAGTATTGAACATCCTGTAATGATGTTTTAGTCAAATATTTTAAGCTAAAATTTGTCTGCAAGTCAAAATGATGCAAACGCAACATTTTGAGAGTAGTTTAATCTCAAACAAATTTTTATTTTTTAATAATTACTGATAATAATATAATTAATAACACCCTCGCTTGTAAACAAATGTTGAAAATAGTTTGGAAAAAAATTGAAAATTAGGTATCTATTGCTATATAATATATTTTGGTTTAAACATAATTAATACTTTTTAATTAATATCTTGTACCTTTTGTTAGAAGTATGGGTAGGTACCTACCTAGTGTTAGTACTGTAAATACTATTGTAAAAACAACTGTATTTATATTAGTTATTACTTATTAGGTACTTATTTTTGATACTGGCCACTAGCATGTCATCAAGTACCGAGGTAATTTTATAATTCAATTTACTTATGTATTTCTTTATGTCTTAGATCATCCCATTTCTATGTTATTATTATTTTCAAATTATGAAGAATTAATATTAAATAAGCTAAATATGCTAGAAAAATGATCTGAACAACCCCTCCCCCCCACCAAATAAAATTCCTAAAAATGCAACTGCAGAGTGTCGTATATATCTATAATAATATAGTTAAAATACTTACTTACATTGTAGATACTGTAACGTCTGTAACAGTTTTTTTGTGAATCTCTTATCATACACTTTTAAGGCATACCTTAAAAGTAGCACTGCTAAGTGTTGAACACAACTGCAATAACTAGAAACATCAAACAGCATATAAACAGTAAATTTATGAACAATTTATGCTTATTACAATTTATATTTATTTTTCAAGCATTGATCATTTTTATATTTCTATGCTTAAACATAAGAACAAATAATAATAATAATAATAATGAACACAAAAAATGTATTTTTAGGTATTTTCTTTTTGTGACATCATTATTTTATTTACAAATTATAATAATATAATATGTATAGACGTATATTATGTATACAAACAACATACATAGTAATTCGTTTGTATACTTATATTATTCAGACATTCGTTTGTTTAGCAGTTGAGATTCTTTAGGTGTAGATTTAATGAACGGGACTTGTATTAGATTCTAAGCAGAGCGATGAATGCAGTAACAGTTTAAGTAACAGTAACAGTGGAGTGTGTTTGTGTTTTTTTTGTATCGGTCATCAATTTTTAGAACAGTAAAAATGCTTCAATCTTTAAATTTGAGGGTAATTTCTGATATCAAAGTGGATCTAAATTCTAAATGGTACTTTGGTATTTTTTTAAAAAGTAAAAATCCTAAGTACCTATACTATTAAAAATATTCGGCAAAAAATTATAATACAGGAAAACTGAAAATCCAGTTATATATAAACCAGTTAAAAAAAAATCAACCTATGGTTTTTGACCATGCTAACATAACGCTTTAAATAACGCAAAATCACGTAGATAAAAAAATGTAATATATTGACATTTTATTATAGTTTGTAAAATTAAAGTCAACCGTGGAAAAAATGGTAATGTGACCTAGATGGCGCGAAGGCCATTAAAATAAAAATTATTATCGCATAATTCATAAATGGTCGTATTATATTGAAATTGGTAACTAAGTAAACTTAAGTTAGTAAAAATATATGAATTATACTCATGAATGCGGATTTCATAATTAAACTGGTACAAAATCAAACAAGTATAGTCCGTATATAGTAGGTAATAGCTGCGGTATTCTTACAAAAGGTATTAGGTATACAAGAACTTGATGAGTAAATTTGTTTAAACTTAATTTTGTTGCCAGAATTTTTTTTATATTTACTTCATTATTTTGCAACATTTAAGACTATTACTGATAATTTACAGTTTGTTTTAACTTTTATTTTTATTTTTTGTCATTTTATACATTTATTATTTCTTTCGAAAAATAAAAAAGACCACGGTAAACCAAACACATAGTTACACAAAATTACTGGATAAATGGGAATTTATCATTTATTTATTTTGAAAAATATAACAAATCGGCATTCCACCGTCTTAGTTACCTGGTTGTAGTCCACAATATATGGGTATATGTGTATAGATATTATGAATCTAATCGACTGATATAGTGCTATTATAGAAATATAGGACTATGCATAATGTACCTATTATCAATAAACTGATAGTTGAAAATAACCTGTAAAAACTCATTTGTTTTTTGTTTGATTAATCTCGATTTCTTTACAATAGCTGTAGTTGAACAATATGCTACAATATTATAAGATTCAATTGTAAAATAAATATATTTTATCAGCCTTTCTTTAAGCTCGCAACTCTCATTAATCATTAGTAGGAATACCTATTTTGTAGGCAGTGAATATAATTTTATTTTGTTTCAAGAGTAATTAATGGTTAGGTAAAGTTATATTACATCTGCTTCCGATAAAATAATTGTTTTTGTAAAAAACTACCATACAGACTAGAGAGTATTGTACTTAGTAATTCATTATTTTCAAATATGTTTAAACATCAAGTCTGTAGATGTGTTGAAAAAAAGTAAATATATAGGTAATATAAGCGGCTGATATACATTCAAATATTAATTTATTATTAACAATAATAATTACTGAATTACCACAGGCAATATCATTTTAGACTAGACGCATAGTTTCCGTAAAAAATACTACTTAATTAACATGCTAAAAAAAAATCTAATTAATCTAATTATATTTCAACATATAGTGTGGAAGTTAGGACATTAAAAATACAAAGAAAAATTAAATTTTTTCGTCAATAAGTTGGTAACTAATTAAAAATGAACAAATACAACAAAAAACAATCATACGGCATAGTGTTTCAATATTAAAAATTTTACAGTTATAATATTGGTATATATTACCTACGGGAATGAACGCCTTTAGCTTACAGCAGAAAAACCGAGGGCATGCCTATTATTTTAAAATTAAAATGATATAGATATAATTATTCAAGTAGATCGCATCAGAATAATTGAATATCACACAAAAATATTTATAATAGATAAGAAAGTATTCGGGAAAAAACTAACAACTCGATATCAGCAATATGCAGTTAATTACAAGGAAATTATACCTTTTATACCTATAGAGATCCTTTACAGTAGGTTAGTATAATACACGCATTTTATATCACATATTATAGGTAGATACTGCACTCACAGTTTACTTATAGCTTCGAATTTAAAGAGGCTTAATGATAACCTTTTCTCTAATGTACACTGCCAACGGAGTTAAATAATAGAATAACACATTACGTAATCACGGGTTAAAGTCCATCGAAAATACGATTAATGAAAAATATTATTAGTGTTGTAATTATTACAAAATACATGGGGCAACGGTGTGTGTTCATAACCTGCGATAGATGCACTTTAAGGAGGTACTATAGGTAGGTCTTCGTAATCCTATACAGTCAAAACTAAGGTCTGCATATTGTTTTACCCTTCGGGTGTAATACGCTTATTGTATTATTTCTACGGAAACTGTCGAAAAATAAATCGGGGAAAATCGTGGTTGAAGCTTACGAGGTAGGTGATACCTGAAAAAAAAATATACCTCAATAATAAAGCATCAAAATTTAATTATTATAAAACACATAACAAAAAATATAAAATAAATACCATTACACTTTGTTCACGTGGAATAAAATCAAAACAATAAAATATACACATTAAAAACAATACTATAATATCATATCGTGTGTTCTTAACCCTAACTAATAAATACTGCATATTTTTTAAAAATATTTATTTGTTGTTGTTTTTATGCACGAATATTAAGAATTTATTATACTATAATATTGTTGTAGGTATAAAACTAATAATTGTATTATACATAATAATGTTTATGAATTGAAATAAAAAAAAATCAGATAATATTTATGTCTAGTGACTAAGGTTATATATTATGTTATTATGTAATTAATTAATAATAAATTACGTACTTTTCAATAATATATATATATCATATTATCAATACCGTGCGTAAATAGGAGTGTGAAACGTCGAAAATAATCTCGTCGTGTTGGTCGGAAGATACGATCGCACCTAAATCGATCTAGCAAACTCTATGTATAAAATATCATCACCATCAAAAAGGGGAGGAATCTCTGTACTCCGACTTAAGCAAGAACCACCACATTTTCGGCTAACCGTCACGAATAAACGACGTGTACAATGCAATATTATATACACACTACAGCGTAGTACCTACGCCCTAATCCTACGGCTAAGTTATGGGTCACACGTCGCATATATACCCACTACTACAATACAATATAGTCATAATATGAAATGAAACATTGAGGCGAAAAAATTACGCGACCGTCGACCTATTCGCGTTCACCGAGCTACCCGAATGGATCGGAACATCTCCGGCGTTCAGAGGAGATCATCGATGATTTTTATTGTTTTTTTCGATTTTTTCAATACGTTTACTATAATATAATACGTGAATAATATGCTGCTAAGAATGACATAGTATAATATTGTGACATTATTACACACGCGCTTGTAAATTATTATATTACAATGATATTACGATACTATTTGATCTTTAAAAACACATAAAACAAAACGAAAATAATAAGGCAAACATTTCAGGTATATAATATATACATTGACGTGTAGGTAAACGTCGGGCAGCACAGTTTTACATAAGACACGACGCAGGTAAAATTTGTTTAAAAAAAAAATTAAAAACGCAGGGAAGGTCGGACGATTTCACGCGGCCGACGACAACAGGGCGGCGGGTTCGGTCTTGTTGTTGCCGGCCGAGTCGTTGTGGGCCGCCTTGGTGTCGGACGGCGGCGGCGATTGGGCGCTCTGCGCTTTGTCGGCGTTGCCGCGGCGGCGTCTCCTCCTGCGGCGGCGCATGCAAATGCACAGCGCCAGCAGCAACGCCACGGCGATAACGATGCCGGACGCGATGGCCCAATAGGGCATGTTGCGGTGTTCCCACTCGGCCATGCACTCCTTGAACGCGACCAGGGCCTGGTCCGGGGTCCGGGCGCAGGCCTCGCTCTTAGGGTCGTCGTGCATGTCGGCCTCGCCGTCCGAGGCCAGCGGGTCAGGGCAATGGCCCAGACCGAACACGGTCACCTTGTACGTGTGGGCCCACTGGACGACGCGCCGGCACCTGCAGTGAGCGCCCGGCGTCCCGGGTCGGAACAGACTGGTAGCGCCCGTCACGTTCAGCCGGGCCAGGCGGCACGTGACGGCCAACTGGACCGGGTCCAGATCCACGATGTCTCCGTTTTCGGACACGTCCAGACTGACCAGGTTGGGCATGATGCCCAGCGCCGGGTAAGCTTTCAGGTCGCAGCCCTTGAGCTGCAACACCCGCAGTCCGACGGCGGTCTCCAGCTGCCGCATGTCCGCCACCGGGTTTCCGTTCAGCCTAAGCTGTGTCAGCGATTTGGGCAGTCCGGCTGGCACCTCCTTGATGGCGTTCTGCGACAGGTCCAGCATCTCCAGTTCGCTAAGCGTCGCTAGCGCCCCGGGCTCGATGGTGTGTACCTTGTTGAACGATAGCATCAGATTCTTGATGTTCGGGTACTCCGTGAAACTGTTGTTAAATAGCTTGCCGATGTAGTTGTGCTCTAGGTTTAACGTCTATAATTCCACAATACCAAACATAGAAACTTGTGTTAGATATATTTTTTAGAAGGTTTAAGTTTTTTGGATAGGGTGTCGGGAGGGAGGGGGTGTTAAACACCGAAAGGTCCAATGTTCAAAAAAAAGAGGATATGTTTAAATTCTAAGGGCTAAGATATATTTTAAGTAAATGTCGTGAATTTCTGAGCACAGTTTATAGTATAGTACGCCGTGCGTTCAGAGTATTGTATCACACAGTATAATTGTCCACACTATGTATAGGAACGTTGTACGCAGGTATGGTGTTATGTATAATTTTTTTTCAAAATATTTCGTCAAATATTACACATAGGTAAGGTGCAAGTGACTACGGGCAGTGACGTTCCATACTCGATGAATCATCGGTGATTTCCTGCTGGACACTCCCAGAAGAAAAAAACAAATATAGATTTATGAATACCGGCTAATTTTACGAACGCGTCTAATTATCTTCCCATTGTTTTGTAGGTCACGAGAAAACTATAATTTTAAACCTTTTTGGCATGTGAATTTTGTTTTTTACTTAAAATCACGGCAGGACGAGAAAAACGCATGCTAGTATATTTTCAGTTCCTGAATCGATGAATATACGCATTAACTAAATGCACAATATGTATAATGGACAAAATGGCGTGTCTGATGTTATATATACACACTTAAACACACAAACCATAAAAGCATATACGGTCCAAACTTTAAGTAATCAGTTTATAGTGAGAAAAAAAAATAACTAACTATTATTAATGTTTATTACGACATCGACAGCGAAACGCTCTCTGGGTGATCTATTTACAGGATGACTTACAAGTCTGCTATGTCTCTTTTTCTTATTTTACTTGTTGGCTCGATATTCGCGATAATTAAATCGTACTAATAACTAATAGCTAAAATATAACAAACGTTCAAGTTTTACCAAACGTCTATAACGAATTTAATTCAATTTTACAAGCTGGGATATTTACAAAAAACGGACACAAAATCCGTTATATATGTATTATCAGTCGCACTTGAATAAATTGATTAACTACTACGATTTCCTATGCACGGGACACATTCATTAATTCTTTGTAAGCCTGTCAAATTTCAACAATTTAATTTATTTATTTATGTTTTGTTTTAACAAACCTCGACATCCTTTAAAATGTCAGTACTTGGTACATGTAGAAATTCTTGATAGGCACAGTTCACCACCACGAACCTTTCCAAATCTTTTGAGTTAAGACATTTCGCTCCATCCGCAATAGAGGCGGACATGCCAAAAACAATGATCGCTAAAACATAATAAATAGTGTTATTAATTATAACATTTTGTACGTTATGTAGAAAACACACAAACAAAAATACAAAATGAATTAGGTTCGACGATAACGCCACAACACGTACAAGAAATTATTATTTCAAGATATAGCTGTTGCCATATTCAACGCAAATCTCAATAATTACAGTGAATTGCTCACTGGTAAAACCAAATCGACAAATGATCACGTTTTTGCCTGTATTATGGTGAAAAGGTATTATTAATTTAAATATTATGTCTAATGATATTATGCCTATTTAACACAAATTATAACAACACATACATTATTTAAAATTGGTAACACTGTCTATTGAACGTTGATTTATTCATCAAAATGAGTATAATAGGTACATAAATACATAATTAATGATCAATGGTTCCATTAGTATAACATAATTAGAAGTAAACATACCTACTATTATGGTTCGATCATAGTCTTATACTTTTCTTTCAATTCAACTTTCAATCGTATTATTTTATGTATTTTATGTTCGGATACAAAAATTGATATTTAGTCATTTACTAGTTATTTATTATTATAAACTCGATCATCCAACTAGCCACCCTCAAAAATCCAAAATTTAAATAAAAATAATACAGTTCGAATAGTGAGCATGTGATCATGTATAAATCCTAAACATTTTGATTACCTAATTAATATTTAAATGATACCGATTTAATGAATTTACTATTTATTATTATTATTTAGTACTTAAATAATATATAATAATTAATAACCTAGATTTATTATTGTTCAATTGTTTGTGTATATTCGTTTAAACTCTAATAATGTACACGTTACAATTTTTAGTAATAGCTTACAGCCTGAAAATGCCAATTTAGGTTGTTCTTTGATATCTACTAATATCAATATCAATAATATCCATAATCCATCAGTTTTACTCGTACAAACTATGAATATTAAAAATAATCATTTTAATCTTCGTGGGATAAACTCAAAGTAAAATATTCGAATGAGTCTAAAAACTACGTCGACCACATTCGTAACAGACAATGTTGAGTAATTAACAACTTGATGTATTGCATTTCATTAAATTTTAAATTTGCATAGTTTATATAAAACATAAGCCACACTCAGAAGCCAATACGATTGTAATTTGTAATACGTACAAGTTTTGGAATATGACTTACTATATTACATTTTTTTTTCATCGGTTTAGGTGACTAACTTAAGTCACTATGGTTACCGGCACGAAACCATAGCAAACATTGATGGGCATCATATTATTATGATGTCATCATAGGCTTATTTCCAAGAGTTTACGTAACTGTAAGTGCTATTGTAGGATACATTATTAGCTATAATAATGTCGGCGACGGTAAAGTAAACGACTATTTAGTATTTCCTAAATAACCATAAAAATGTTAATAAATAAGTAATATTATACTCGACATAATATTATTATACAGACAAGTTAAAATACAAATTGAACATAATATACACATCAACGATTGCAAATATCTACCATATATATGAGATAATACAATATAATATACTGTTATTCATTACTACTGTTATTGTTACAAAGAGAATACATTTTGACTGACCCTGTGTATACATATATTAATACGCATTTTATTAACCGCGTGTGTTTACAATTTACAACCAGTAATTTTAAGTTAAATATATGTTATCTAAAGGTATTAGATCCCCAAAGCCAAAGCTATTCATTTTCTCATCGTTATCCTTTACAACATGATGCATTCGATTTACTGTCCGAATTTATTTTGGATTGTGGTCACTCTACACCGACAGTATATCAATATTATTGTTATGTGTGGTAAATAACTGGCAAGTTCCAAGGTGATTTGAACCATTTGCGGCTTTTTCTTCTGATAAATAATTCGTAGTGTAGGAACATGATGGTAGGATAGTGGTCGAATTGTGGCGTTTTCCATAACAACATTAAATACCGGCGACTTGTAATTATCCAATTTTAATTTTTTCTACCGTACTCGTATTATTCTTCAAGAGTAATACAGTAGGAGCTCTGGTTTGGAAGGCGTTACGGCCTTAGTAAATATCCAATTATTCTAATTTTTTCAATGGCTCTTTTTATGCATTGTTTTACGTGTATAATGTTGTATTTAAAACTTTAAAATATTATACTATAGTCATTGCTGTGATGATTAGGGACAGTTAAACTCTAACTTTTTTTTAATTACCTATACGACACCGGTAAATTGTTATTGACCTACCATAATAACGATTTATACAGATACAATAAACGCGTTTTCAAATCTAATTGGTGTGAACTATCACGTCATCCCAGCTATCTAAAAGGTAAAAACCAATTTATATTCAAAACTGAATTAGTGTGACACTCATTATACCACTGAACTAATAAATAATAACTAAAAAATGACCTTCGATAATGATTTATTACCATGAGAATAAAGAATTCAATCCTACCAAGTATATACGCGTGGTCTAACAAGCTTGGTCTACACATGCAAATCCATACATTTGTATAATAACATTTTTAATAAAAGTATCGTTACCTGGTAGTATAAACATACTATTAATTGGTATTACGTAAAATATAATTGCAGTTAGGTATCTACCCTATAATATGATAATATCAGACGGGGCTTCAAAATTAGTGAGGGAGTTCATAAAAAGGGGGGACGTTAATTTGTATTTCTAAAAGCATACCAATATGAATGTATACATAAATATATTTCAATTAATACGCCAATAATAATTTTTGTTATTAAAAGAGTATAAAAATAATCAAAATTCGGTCGAAAATGATCATGTTCACGATATTCTATTATCAATATGATAACTGTACAAATATATATAACTTTTCACTAAGATTAACAATGTTGACTTGTTGTTTATTTTTCATTTAAGACACAAAGAAACACAACTTTTATCAAGCGTCAAAAAACACTATATAGAATTAAAATGTTATTTGTTTAAATGCAAGCAATATTCAAATAAAAAGTTTTTTAGATGCGATGATTACTTTCAAAAAACACCACTATCCTACAATTCTCTGCAAATCATACTGTCCGGATTTTTATTAGTATATACTTATTTTTATAATAATTACCCTACACTGTTCAAATTAAAAGGGTATATGTTTGAACAAAGTAGAAGAACGTCCAATCATAATTAAAATAACATTGATACTAGCATATATCGATGGCGAATCGTATTAATAGTTACATAACTAGATAGATTATAATAAAAATAGGTATATATACATTTATATCAGTAAATATATATATATATATATATCTAAGTATAACTATTTTTTTATATATAAATGTGTCATTGAATATTGGTCATTGGATTCGGATTTGTAATAAAATACTCCAACGTTGTATCAAATTGCATATTATTGAATTAAGTATCCTCTTCGCAAGTATATGTCTGACAGTGTGTAAATCACAATGTTCGGATACAATTTGAATAATCGAAACACTTTTAATAATAATAATATGTCAGTTTATTACTATACGGAGAGACTGCTATAACTATAATAATATACCACCTATTATAGGTAGTATGGATGACCATTTTCATTTCGAAACTAAAGAGGCATAGGTAGGAACAGATTTGTTCTGCTTCATCTAGATTTTTCACTTGTTAATGTTTTGCATCCAATTATTGAAGAAATAAACCCAAATTTGGCAAAAACTGCCATTATGTGTAAATAATGATAGTAATAAAAAAATCAATTTAAAAAAATCAAGTGTTCACTAGGACTAGGTATCAACATTCAACATATATTCGGACGCATATACCAATTTCCCTCAAAATTACTTTTGCTTATGCAAATTTTCTCTAAATTCCTCATGAAACTCAATTTATTCCAATATGTCAACTGTAAATATGCATTATTAACTACATTACTAACTCTAAATGCATTTAAATTTATTGTTGGTATGTACATATTTAAACTATATTATCAGTAATACATATATTCTTAAAAAGATCTTAAGAATTATTTAAAATTGACCAGAAGTACGTATTAATTTTATATTTATGCGATTTCTGATTTCCTATGTCGTTCGCTTGTCACAGTACGAAATAGTACGAATTACAGTTGTGGTTTGAATACCTTTCAGAATATCGACAAGGGTGAAAAGTTGAACAGTGGACGGATTACTATAAAGAGCTGTTTTGTGCGTCATTCCAAACGTATATACAACAATAAAATACAAAAATTGTTATACAGAAGATGAGAGGGAGGGGGGGTGGAATTAGCAAATTTGTCTTTCACGAATTAAATGTGACATGGTTATTGGTACTAAGCTATTATCTATTATCTGCCGATATAGTTAATGCAGCAGACAGGACAGTTATCACCGAGATGTAAGTTGATACTTTTTTACATAATATTATATACATATATAAGAGGACAAGTATAAACTATAGTGTTTGTTTATTTTGGTGGACACTGGACACACGCACATATTATTATGTCACGTCGAGTCGATTGTAGAGTGTATACCGGCTACTTTTGCGTAGGTACCACTTGTTGCGCGCGGGAAAGTCGTTACACGTATTAATATTATACTATATTGTGTACTGATCGTCATTATTATATGTCAATATATATTCATACAATAAAAAGAGATACTTTAACAAGCATAATATAATATGTAATATATTATTATATTTATAAAGAAGAAAAAGTCAGCAGACAATAATTCGAATGTAATAAATATATAGGTTATACATAAATATATCAAGCTATTAAGTACTAATCGGTCACGGTGATATATATATAATATATATATACATGAAATATAAGTACCTATAGGTATAGGGTGGTATTATATTGTTGTGTACAATTTTTGGTGTTATTATTATTCAGTTCACGTGACGCTCCAGAGAAACAAAAAAAAAATAAATAAATAGTTTTAACCACCAATTTTCCGAAGAAAAATAATGATGGTGGCGATGATGACGATGATAGAACGTTCGTGTCGAATTTGCGATTTCACGAGATCAACGGGTTCGTCCGCATTATGAGCGGATGATTTTTCGAATCGAGAACGGTCGGTGCGCGTAGCGGCAGATGAGGCACGTTATAAGTGTGGAAAACCGTTTTTGGTCATCGACCATGCCAACCGCTACCGCGTGCGGTAATCGTTTTTCCTTACACGGTTCACCGGGTAATAACTCGAAAAGAGTGTACTGCAGAGTGGGAACTATGTACAAGTTTGTTATTATACATTTTTTTTCTACTCTGAAGAAAAGAAAACGGCAATCGATTTGTGTCATCGGTAGCCGGTGGACTGTGAAGGACATCCGTAGGTTCCACGGCAGTAGAAGAGACACGTATACAATAAATTGTATTTTTTACTCGTCTGTGTATAAATATAGTCCATATATAATTAATATAACGCGACATACCTAATCACGATCATCGACAGTATTCGGCAATCGGTTGCTCATTATCAGACCTATATATATCATATTATATTATAAAATTCAAAACCACAACACTGTGTCACTTGTATCTTCGATTTACAGTTAAAGTGTGCAAAAACATAATATCATTAAACAATGTACCTATACTGACATAAAACGATACTAATTACCTAGTAATTAGTATAGCCAATATGTATTTTTTACCAGCATTTAGAAGGTTTCTACGTTACATATTTCCTTTATTAGTTTGATTAACTATATAATCTATATATTATATTAGTGGTTAGTCTATACATATTAATTGCATTTACAATTTACAATTTACTTACTATTAATGATATACTTTATACTACTAAGTTTCCAATAAGAACATATTTTTAATTTAAGTGTAAACGATTTTTGTACCTAGCCAAAAAAATGATCTGAAAAAGTAATATGATATATTAGACTTTACTATAAACATAATAACCCTGAATATATTTTCACAGTATTATTCAAAAGTAAAATTACAACTATGCACATTAAATAACAATCGATATTTTTTTTTTTGAGAAACCTTCTCATAATAGTTATTGTACAAATTTGTATGAAAAACTTCACACAATGTGTAAAATGTAACATCATCGCAAGTTCTGATAAATGAATTGTTTAATTAATTTGAAAGACATACGATACATTTTTTTAAATTATTTGTACAACGCATATTATGACGCAGCTATATGATGCAAAATACAAATTAAATGATTTAACTATTTTATAACCTATTCTATACATATAAGCTATAAAATATGATATGTAATACGTTATAGACGTATAGGTTTATAACTTACGCATTACCCTGATCATATTTTATGTTTTATATGTACTATACGCTAAGCAAAAATATATCTTTACAACACTGCAATTCAATTATTCGAAACACAATGACTGTACTATAAATCTATATAATGTGCATATAACAATACATAAGGATTAATTAGTTATCATGCAGTTAGTAAAAATGAATGAATATCACGTATGTGCCTGTATAATGAAGTCGAGGGGTCATTTTTGGTACAAATCTTTATACAAAAATAACTCAAAATAATTAAAGGAATAAATCAAAATACAATATAATATAGAAATTGTGGAAATTGCGATACAATTTAGATATTCATAATGATAGTTTAGGATACTGATGGATGACTGATGATAATCGACAAATGTTTTTTAGTAACCATACCCGCGACTTTAATAATTAATGACTAGTGTTAAACAATTTTACGGTATTGTATAAAAATTGTATAGGGTACCTACCTATTATTCATAAATTTTATATTTTTACAAACTAATGATTTATTAACTAGTTACGTTTAAATTTAAGAGAATAGAGACAACGTTACCTTTAAAATACAATTATTATATTATATTAATTATTGATAATAGGTCAATTCACTTTAACATACGAAACAGAAAGTTAACTGCCGAATATAAATGTACATTTGCTATGTTACTCGCTTATAAATCAGTGACAACAAATACAAGTGTGGCGTCCTCTTAACAGTTAATAAGATTCAAAGACTAATCAATTTAAAATTATAAGCATTTTGTTAAATTTTTTATTATTAAAAAAAATGTTATTTCTATATAGAAAACACAAATTGACTTTCTAAACACCAGTTGTGAATCACTTTACCAAGCATTATTTAGGCTCATACTATAAGGTTAATATTCAGGGAAACATAATGTATTGTATCATAATTCATAATTTGTAATGGCAAAAATATTCTGCTAGGTAGTTGGTTTTTGATTATTTTAAAATGTTCACTAAATAACGGTAGGCACAGTTTTCTTTTCAATAGAGTGTATTCGTTAATATAATATAATATAATATAATAACATAAGCCATATTCTTTATTAACGGAATTGCATTCCAATAAACCTAACCTATAACAGTGCATGTGTTAAACCAGTTCTATAATACAAAAAAATACTGCTATTAAATATAATATTATAATATCAAAAGTTAAGTAAACAGTTAGATAACTTATCAAAAGTTATAACTCACAATGGACATATCTAAGTCATTAATAGAATTTCCTATAGACATAAGTATTCCTTAATAGACCCTTTTGAAAATAAATCCTTAATTTGCCGCTGAATATGTAGTATACTAGTATGCTAACATATATATTAACTACTATGACCTAAACATATTTATTCCATTATTCGATACGCTGATTATACAGATATCTACATTTATTTGTATAATATTTGTAAATTTAGACATTTAAACTGGATAGTAAAAAGTGTCGGTTGATTATATTCAATTAAACATGGCATATTTTTTTGATTTTCAATTGCAATGGTTAGTTTACGCTGACGCACACAGCTATAGGCCTACCCATGATTTAGCATAGACGAAGGAAAACTCGGGCGTTACACTATAATTCATGGAAATCATCAGGAAATAAGGAAATCTATTCTCGGCCATTGTCGGGCTGTTATAATGCTGCTGCTATTATTATTATTGTTATTATCATGTTCCCTATTGATAAACAACATTGATTCTATGAACCATGTCCTCGTCCAGCGGGGAGCATGATGCGAAAGAAAGTGGAGAAAATACGTCAAAGCGATGGAAATATTCGAATATATAATGTTATGAAAAATGAAAAAAAAGTAAATAGCACTTTCTATTTGAATTCATTGTCAAAGCACTTATAACATACAGTTTCCAAGTCATTATTATAAAATCTATATAGATCTACTTTTACAGCCTTACATATTATATATAAGTGCCTAGTACCTACTAATATAGGTAATAGGTATATACAATTACTGTAAACATTATAAGCACGGTGTATTCTCTTTCAAGATATATATACTAATAGTTGACTACCAGTCAACTACCATGACTTAATACTCAAAAAAAAAAAAACAAAATACAATTATGATTTTTTAGATTTTTTTGTACTCATATAAAATGATTCAACAAACCACAAAAATTAGTAGAATTGTATCTATTTAATTACTTAAATTTTTTTGTTATAATTTATTAATAATCATATTAGATATGTATGTATTATAATTTCTCTTTACTTTTAATACATTATTTTCTGATTGTGATTATTGATAGGTACCTACATACAAATTAACTAAAGATAAACTATATAATACATAAATATTACACTATATAATTCTATCTAAAACTTCTCGGAAACCTTGACTACCTATACAACATACACCCAACGTTTTTTTAGTAACAGAATTATTTTATAATAATTTGACAAAAAAATTATTTTAAGATTTAAAATGTATTGAAACGTATCACAAGGTTAAGTTGAGAGTGTACAAATAAACTTAATTACTATGGATAAATTATGTAGGTATATCATATGCCTATTGGCTAATAAATATTAAACTAATTTGAACAATAATTAGTGTTTATTTATCTTAATTTTTTTTGCAAATTAATACCTTTTTAGTTATTGTAGCCATTTAAGTTAAACAAAAAGTCTTGTTACTAATATAGTTATTAATCGATATTCACTTACAACCGTTCTTTGAATGTTATGAATTTATGATCAATATTATTATTACTCTCGAATTAAAAATAATAATTTTACACCATAGTGCGTAATGATGAGGATATAAAATATATAATATGACAAGAGTAATTATAATAATACTCAGTGCCCAGTTTCTGTGTTTCATCAGTACTTTTTTTCCGAAATGTTAAAAACTTATTTTCATTATGATCACCAGAACACTAAAATTATTGTTTGTCACGTGCGAGTACGCCGTATTTTAGAAAATACAAACGAGAAGCAGTGTATAATACTCACTTAAAATTCCGATTGTCATCATATTGTGTGTTCTTGTATTTCAAGACTTTGTTCTGTTATTGTAAAATAATATTTCCAGTCATGTTACTATAACGCACCATTACATAAACCCAGCGTTCGCCGTTCGATAAAATTTCAAATTACAGGGTGGAAAGAGTATCTTTTGAAAACAACACAACTCGTAGCCCTGAAATAAAATAAATTATATTATCAGCCAGGTTCATATTTTTTATTGTATTTATTCGATTACTTGTTACTATATAACATATTACTTATTATCAAATAATTAATGTTGTGCAAATAAACTAAAATTAGTTGGTCTGGGCCTACCTATATTAATTGTCGCCAAGAAATGGCTGTGATGTCGTACGTGATCTACTTAACTTGTTTTTAAGCAGTAAGTACACAATCTACCAAAAAATAATATTGAATTACCAGGATTTTATAAATTATAGGATTTATTTAAATTTTATAATTACTAGTATAATTGTTAATTAATTCACATATTATAAGTTTACCCTTAAGCTAAAATATGCTGTAATCAAGTCTGTATATTGTATCGATGGATGGATGAAGTAATCGTCACCATGGCGTAACTGTCTTTCAATAGATGAATCTCTATTTAATTTTATATCATACCTATCTTTATTACATGACGCGCTAAAAAACCTAAATAAACAGAGTATTTGCTCCTGTAAGTACTTAGATCAACGACATTTACTATTAACTGTTATGTGTGAACTGTATAGTAAACACGTGTTCATTTACTATGTAGGCGTATGCCCTATACTGGTCACTAAATTGTCTTTCCTGGTTCAAATTCTCTTTGAATAATTGGCAAGAATGTAATTCCGTCGCATTTTTCAACTATGAAATGCCCTAAAAGGTCATTATGGTGCCGGCATATATATCAAATACCCATGGTCCCTAATTATGTTGATTTGTTTCATTTCTCTTTGGTCGCTAGTTGAATTTCATCATCATGACATTATCTATTGGCTGTTCAATTTCTTCATTTCCAGTTCTTCGATCAGCACATTATAAGGGGCATCCTCGGTTATAATTTCTTTTTCCTTGAAAAAGAGGTTTACCAATTTCCACAATACAACCTTGCCAATCCATCTTATGTCGTTTGGAAAAATAATCGACTACAACATCTCTTCACAAGTTGTAACAATCAATACAGTCAGTTGCTCCATCCTTGTTGCTCGCCTGCATTCCGTTAAATGTATCTAGTAAACGTGAATCTAATACCACGTCAATTCTATTCCTTCTGTAAGCGAATGAACCGTCAATGAGATATATTGTTACGGTGGTACGTCAGAATGGTAACTAAATAAAATTCAGTAATTTGCGTAACTTGGTATAAATTCTGGGGGGAGGGAGGCAGAATGTAATAAATGTAATGATCTTTTAGGAAAAAATCTACTATTGTCCCCGCAATAAAATATCTGTCCCCCCTTGCCATTCCAGATTACACATATATCCCTAGGTCTCCATATAATTCATTTTTTTTACCGTATTAATTGGGTCATAAAAATACGAGTATAGAGCAGTCACGTCGTACATATTTATCAATTGGATACACAAATGTATAGATACTTAGATATAATTTCATGTTTTTTGAATTCGTGATTACCTGCAGTAGATCGTCTATTTCGGTAGATTGCGTACAACAGCACAACCCAAGAAATTTGTATATTTTTGACGAAAATTTCGGATTTCGCAAATAATTTTTCGATGAGTACAATAGATACAAATATAAACAGTGTTAATATACATATTCCTAATAGAACACAATATAATATTTTATCACTTATGAATAGTTCACCTTATCAAAAATTAATGGTAAGCTGTATAGAACTAATTGTTCAAAACTATGATGAAAGCGTATAAAAACAAAGACATTTTCCTTTGCTTTGTAATGCTTCTAGCCTAGAGTTTTTCTAATAATTTAAAACTTTAGCTCTGTGGTAACTTTTTTACAACGTTTAGCTGAGAACCAACCAGCAAGGTATACCAAAAATAATAGTTTTTATAGTATACCTACTTTATTTATACTTGAATGTAAATTCAATGTCAATCTGCTCATACATTAAGCATAATTAATTGATACGCCCATTAATTTGGCAATAAACCAGACACCCAATCAGTTATTGAGTGCAAACTTTATGATTGAAAAGTATTATTCAAGATTATTTAAATAGTTCTAATTTTAACAAGTAGTACACTACCACTAGTTTCATCGGCCAGTTCACTAAAAATAACCTACTGGAACTTTACACGGAGTATAATTTGGCCACCGATGTGGCTCAATTCCAATTGTATGTTATAAATTTGGATAAATTATGAAAAGAAGATGTTTATTTGAATTATATCTTTACCAATATCCATATATTTTAAAAGGTACCACCTTTTCTGTAAATAAAGCATTTTATTCCTCACAATGATCTCCCTTCATCAAAACTATTTTATTTTAAAATTAATTGAAACTTTTATTATTTTATTTACATGACTTTATTTTGATTACACAATAGACGATGTTGTTGAAGTGTTTAACGTTCTTCTTTGTATAAAAGCAGTCGAAATAAATAGCATTGCCCCAGATATGTAAAGCAAACAATTCCAAAGCTATTTTACTATACCAATAAAAGTGATGTACTAACTACTGGACATACTTAAATAAAATATAGAACAAATAAACAAACTTCAAAATACCATAACGATTTTTGTTTTTTATAAGCTATAAAAACGTAAGACATAATTAATTAAATAGGCCAACTTTAAAAATTAATAGTTTATTAAAATCATTACATTATCAACTTATAGGGTATAAATCACATAATATATAAGTAATAATATTATTATTGTATACATATTTCGGAAGTTCTTGATTAATATGCTTAAATACTAGTAAGTAATTAACGGAGTCTGGAGTCTGAAATAATATGTTTACGTTCCTTTATCTTTACGGGGTATTTATTGAAGCATTGTACTATTACATAGATTCAAATTTGAAATACATAATAAATGCTATATTTCTACCTATCCTCTCCACACCATCCAAAATATAACTGATAATAGATGTTAAGACATCAGATAGGTAATCATTGAATAGTAAATACTTTTAGGCAAAAATTACCAGATTTAACACAAATAATAAATATTTTTAGGTTTTATGCATTGAATAAATGCGCTTTCCATCACTGGTTTATTAATAGTACCTAGTAATACATTTCATTATTAGAATAATCATTATAATTTTAATTGATTAATCACAGCAGAATGCTAACGATCTCAAATAAACGAAATATAATAATATTCTGCAATATCTATGTTCTGGAAAAATAAAAACGCAATGAATTGCAGAATAATTTTAGTTGTTAAAATACTAAATTATTATTTTATTACTAAAAAAAAGTAGGTGCATGGATTTCAGTCGATTTTGCACAGTTGCTTAAGTAGGTATATATACTGTTTTAAACGCATCCAGGCGCTTAGTCTTGCCCTGTCATTTGACACGCGTATACTAGTGGACCGTTAAGTAAAAATGAGTAAATAATTAGGCAGGTACGAATTTTTTTAACATGGTACTCTGATTCTTTCGTAACATTTGAATACACTTCCCATGAAGTATGAACAGATATATTACCGTATACCATTGCTACACTTTTAACTGTTGAAATTCAAACCAAATCACTGCAAATGTATTTTATTTCGATTGAACGAGATATCAGCGATACCAAAAAAAAGCAACAAAAAAACGAGTATACATGACATCATTGTGTACTTTTGTCTTTTACTTATCTTTAAACTTCTCATATTAAATGCATATTTGTATTGGTATTTCTAAAACGGAAAAATATAATTTTGTTATCAAAGGGTTAATGAAGCTTACTGTAAATTGTTCGATAACGACACGTATACTTTTTGGTTGACTGGCTCACGTACCTACATGTAAAAATAGATATAGAATGATTTCTGCGTGGTTTCTATTGCAATGTTGTTCGTAATACTTATATCATTGATTATAATATTTATGTATAATAGTATTTATAATCAATGGCTAATGGTTAGGCATAGGTATCAGCCATTAGGTACATAATGTACCGTACATTAATACAATGACAATCAACGAGTGGAATCAAACTGCAGAAGCTGGTGTTTCGTCAACTCATATTCATCGTAGTCGATTCATCACAATCGCGTAAATAATTTTCAAATAAACTTAACAGTTTGACCTATAACATTAGACTTAACAACCGGAGGCCCCTTGATCACAAAATAGCGGCATATTATATTTCAAACCATTACAATTTTTTTTTTAATGAAAATTTGCATTTTATTTAGAAATTTTCGTTAGTGAGGCATTTATAGTTAGAATATGTCTTACATAATAGGTGAACTTCTCATAAAAGGCACATAGTTGATCCGTTCTTAATAATTATAGGAAAATATGTAAGACTCTAAGACTGGCATTACTGATACGTAACCTAAACAAAATATTAATTAACGTTAGGCCTGAACTTGATATTTTTTATCGGGCGGACCTTGCCATATAATATAATTACTTTATTGATAGTTTCCTCGATGAGAATCTAAATATGTGATATGTGAAGCTCGTCAAATGCTACTTCAATGATATAATTTTTATGTTATCTCATTTATCTAATTTTTTTTTCATTCTTTAAATAATAATAGGTAGGTACCTATATTTTTGATAGTAATTACTAATTATATAGAGTATAGATCACCTATTGTATTGAAAATGTATTGGCTACCACGCGTTCACACGACCTTGAAAATATGTGGACCACTTTAAAAAAAATACGTAAAAAAATATAATTTGAAGATTATATTTATTATTGTGTAACCTATAACCATAGATGCATAGAAGCGGAATTAATTTAAGGACTTAAAGTATGACACAAAACAAAACAGTAGAATATTATTACAGGATATTCATCAATAATATGACGAATGACGATATTTATAATACTGTCAAGAGAACGTATTTGTAGGCAATAGGTATTTAATATTTATCATATACCTAATATTGTAATATATTATTTTTTTTACTTGATGTACACTCCAGAACATCTAAATCAAATAGAAGTGTGTCAAACACATGAAAAACTAAATTTAATTTTAGGTAGGAAAGTACTCTATGCGTTCAATAGGTACAGGAAGTGAACAACATACAAAATATAAATATCTATAAAAAAACTTCTTGGAAAAAAAATTATTCAATGGTTCTATTTAACATTTTTTATTTAAAAAATCAATTTAGCAATTCCCAGTGACTAGAAATCAAGATGCATTATTGGTTAAAAAAAAAATTAGGACAATACCTATTATAGCTTGGTGCAATGGTCCAATGAATTTATTTTATAATAAAAAAACAAGAAAAAAATATTTCTTAATTTTACGATATATAGGTTGAATTGTGTTATTTGTTTATTTATATAACTATTTTTAAATACTATTATGTGAATTAAATTAATCACTTAATATTTAATTTATAAAGTAATATATATACTAATATAATTTCTGCAATAATTATTTATTTTTTAACAATTTGAACTATTTTAGTATGATCTATAAAAATATAGTATAATATTATTTATAATGTAAATTTACATAGGTTTATATTATTATACGGAGCAATATGTTCATAATTTTAAATACAAATTTTAATAAACTAAAAAGGTAAAATTAGTATAGGAACGCATCATCACTCAAAAGAACCTAATTTACTATCGCTTATAGTATACCTATAGGTATAAATGTATAATATGTAATATGTACCCATATGTTTATAGTATTTTTTATTGTTAAGTTTTAAATTTAAATTTATAATAGGTAACATAACAATTATTGTAAACAAGTAATAATTATTTATATTAGGTATCAACTACGATAATTTAGTAAATAATATAATACATAATAGTTATATTATAGGTACGTATAAAAATACGGGAGTCGTTGACCTTGTACTTGCAGAATGCAGACATTTTACCGGATCAGAAATGTTAACGAGAAAATACGAGCCTAAAAGGCTATAGTGGCGCCGTTGTGGTGTATTAGGGTGGGGGTTAGTACAACAGAAATTTGCTACCACTTTTGCCAAACGGACAACGGAATGATTTTGAGCGTCAAAAACAGCTGCAGCGGTAAAACGAAAAAAAAAATATAGGCCTCTTGTCCATTTTGCTCGTTTGCAAGGAACACGTATAATATTATTATTATATTATACCTGGTGGTTGGAAAGCGAGAGGGACAGATGGTCGGAAATCGCGTGTGTCTGTGCAGTGAGAGGTACAACGGTCGAGGATACACAAAAGAGTTCCCCGCGCACCACCACCCGAGTTATTATAATACACGAAATCCAAACGTCCCTTCAACTCTCATTCTCATATTATTAAACTCCCGCGATGGTGGCATACATCGTGTTTGTAATAATACACACGTCGTGTTTTTTAATGCACAATGACGCGGGCGGCAATGTTTTAAACAAACAAGACGTTTATTTTATCGATAAGAGGGCATAAAAAAATTTAATGAAATTTACACCGTTGTACATGTAGTGTGTAAGATATTATATTATGTATATACATACTGTGAAACTATGCCGTCAAGACAATAATATACTTATATATGACGATGTCACCAGCATGCATAATGGTTTGGAATTAAAAAGGACATGGGGTGTATTTTGCAACGTGTCTATATATTTAATTAACACCTACCTAAGACGTCGGGATGTGTTAAATGTGTAATATGTGTACACAATACACAAACTGATAAATGATAGAAAAGTATTTTTTTTAACATGTGTGTAACCTAACCGTGTGATATCATACATAGGAAATGCAAGAAATGTATAAATATTGTGTACTCGATGAAACCATTCAATAATAATCGAACACCTACGCATTCGTGAATAATCTACATGCTTGTTCTTTGAAAAATAAATCTTTAATTATAACGAAAACTATGTTTTTAATGTAATATAATATTATGAATATTTTATTTAAAACTGTCAACTTTAGTTTACAAAAAAAAACTACCTAATTGTAATACAATATAATAATACCTAATGGTTTAAATTAAAACCATAATATTTACAGTTTAATTTAATAACTTTAACTTTCATTTAAACATGAATAATTACTAAAACAAAATTTACTGAATGAATGAAAATTATGCCTTAAATATAAGAAGTGTTTAAAATAATAAAATATTCTAGTTTTTAATTTTTTATATGAAAGGAAGCAAAATACCTAAAATAAAATTAAAGCTACAATATTGTTATTTCAAAAGTGCTTGGAAATCGATTACTTAATGATTGTCAAGCAGTTTTTATAAGTATATAATTTATTAAATTAAATATTTTAAATATTTAAATGTATATTTGACATGTTTAGACAAAGTGTACTACTTACTAATTATAACTTATATTGCTTTAGTTTAGCTGTGGCTAGATAGTATTTTATGATCACAAAATAACTAATGGCAGCTAATGAATTCAAAATAATATTATAGTATTCAATTATTAATAATGTATTGTGAATTGTAAATCATAGAACGATAGTTGACAAGTAAAAATAATTATTTTAAAAACTACAAAAATATATAGCCACAGCCACCGAATGATTTTCATTTGTTTATGTTATCTTAACACAACAATTTAATAACATATAATCATTTTAACATACAACATTGAAAATTAAATAATTATATTTAATTACAAATCTCAAATATTAGTTCATATTAAGCTTCAATTAAACTAATAAGTATTATATATAATAAATTAAAAATACTATTAAGAATAAATAATTAAAACTAAATTATGTTGTAATTGTTATAATTAGTAGAAATATTAAATACTAAATAGGTACCTATACCATAGAGCCAGTTCCCGTAACACGTCTTGTCGTCTTATATTATATTTACCAGTTACACCCACGTTCCACTTACATATAAATGTAATATAGGTACTAACATATACAATTATTATAGCTTTTTGAAAATATTGGTGAAATATTAAAAAATTTTAACGTTGTTATCATTGCAAATGCAATTTTTGATACAAACAACATAACACAAATAATAATTTATAATACTTGCGATGATAAAAAAAATGTTTTTTTAAATTATTAAAACACTGAATTTCCTTTAAGATCACGGTTATCAAAATAAAAGATTTTAGAATAGCTTATTATGTGGCTAGAGCAAACATTCACACTTAACGTGACTTTTCGTTCGGAATTGTGGGTAAGATTAGGTGCCCCAAACATTCATTAATTGGTTGACACAAGGGTAGCCCTTATAGTTTAAATTGATTTAAAATTTTTCAATAAAAATAAATCTTTTTTAGATAATTCATCCGGTGTGAAACCAATTTTATAATAAACATTTAAAGGATTTCGAGAGGTGATTTTGTGCCTTAGTCTAACACTTGCATTATACGACTTTAGACATGATTTCATTCAACGTACCTATTAATTGGTATGGTAGACTAATGAGAATTCGAAAAACAGATTTGATTTTTTCCTAAGTCTACTTGAGAAGAGATGGGTGTTTAGAATTTTGACGCTTAAGGTAAAGCTACAATGCAACTTATACTACCTCCTTCCTCCGTAAAAGAAATTAATTAAAAGCAATTTCCTATTTGTAGACAAAAAGTTGGGAGGAACTTACTAATAACATTTGATACATTCTTGTCAAACTACTTCAACATTTAGCTTTCTTCGTCATGAAATAATTGACCAATTTCGATACTTTAGAGATAACAAGTACTTATTAAAGTTTTTTTTTAGTTCAAAAAAAGCAGCACCATTTCGTCGAATTTTTTGCCACTCTTTTTAATATACTATTTATAATACATATTAATACATTATCAGATTGTATGAAACAAAATCCAAGACAATGAACAGGTATTATTTTGATTTCGATTTTCGAGCGAATTGTGTATGGAATTATTGTTAATTGTTTGAAATGCGTTTAGAAACCGGAAATATAGCACGCTCGCAGAGTGGGTTTTTCTAACTTGTTTTATAAATAAAATAATCTCGATTTTTACATAAAATTGCTTTGTGATAAAAAAAATGATGTCTCTTGGTTGCCGAATGACGATTATAGTTGTAGGCTTATAGCCTGTAGATTGTGGACAGTTAATGCAGCCACCGCTAAATCTCTGAAAAATGTACACTTGTCCTAGGCTAAATGTATCACTACTTGAGATCGACTCTGCCGAAATTATTATTTTATTCCTCCATGACAATACGATCAACTGTATAGATTTCAAATCTATAGACTATAAGTCAAAGGTTAATCCGAAACTGTGGTATAATTATAAATCTATTAATATTATGTCGAACGTACCTGTGGACTGTGACTGGAGAGGGTTGGTCTGGTCTCCGGACACGTGTGGCGTATCAGGTATGTGAATAATTCGAAAGCATCCAGTGACTTATGACAAACGAATCGTCGGTGATATTATCAATATCGTATCTCGATGGACGGTAGTGTAAATTTTGAAAAAAAATAACCGTCGAGACGCAAAGACGATAACGAAACGCGCAAGACAAAACGAACGAAACGGACGCACGTTGTGAACTGATGTTTATTATTGTTTTGGCAAACCGGCGGCGGCCGGCGAGTGGAGACCGTCTAACAAAGGGTAGGGAGGGATACACGACGAATGATTGACGGTAGTGGCGGCGACTACGAAGACGGTAGAGCGCTACCTATACTATATTGCAGCTGCAGGTAAAAATCCGCGGGATAACTTTTCAGTTTATGATAATAATAATTTGAATTATTAATCCTTAATAATACGATGATATTAAATTTGTTGTTTGCAGCCGATGGGACGGGTAGTTTCTAAGTAGGTTTTATATATTAATAATATTCATAGTTCCCGAATTATAACCTTCATTTTGCTATCGATATAGTGTTAAGACTAATCTCACCGAACAGTTCATTGTGCAGATACAATTATATAAGACAATGACAAATGTCAAATGATAACAATACGTCATGCTTAATAGTTATATAATTTGCAAAACGTGTTCATAATCGTCGAATCTCCACACATATAATGATACAGGGTGCGGCAGAGCCGACTGACGAGTTTTGAAGGGTTATAAAAAACGAACAGTAAAACTTAGAGAAAAAACTTTTTTTTATTAAAATAAGTATTGAATCCCATTTTTAAAAATTATTGTTTGAAAATTATATCTCGAAGATGGCGGCCGTCAGCATCAATACACTGTTGTAGACGATCTCTGAAGCTCTCATATGATTTTCGGCACGTTTCGACTGGTAAGTAAAAGGTAAAATCAACTATAAAACAAATCACGACAAAATTCTTACACTTAACAAAACGTCAAAACCCCTATATAACTCTAAAAAAATATTTTCTGACATATTATAATTATATTGTTAAATTTTTTAAATTTTTTACAAACAGTGGGATAAGGGATTTTATTTCTAAATAATCTATAATTAGATTTCAGTAAATTCCACGGGACATAATATTATTATATATTATATATTATGCGTATAGGAAATTAGGAAGAAAGAAGAACGCGAAAGAAGATATGTATCAATATATTTTATTTATATTATACTAATTTTATTTAATTATAGAAGTTAAAGGTTTAAAGCCATTTACACTAATTACTTTTTAGTTTTTGTAATTTTACAATATTCTAGATCTCATGACTAGTGAGACCCAACAATTTATATAATTTCAAACATAAAACGTACAACTGTATTGACTTTAATTAAAGTATATATACTAGTACATTCCAAATATATAATTTACTTTAAGATTAAAAAATACTTAGTTCACCTGGCCAAAGATTTGTGAAATACCGTAATTTTAATGAATATGTTCTATGAGTGATTTTTTAAATTTTAGCCTCGCAAGTCGTAGTCGACCACTCGACCATCATCTAAACAAACCACAAAACACTATCTTGAGAAAAATATTTTAATGAATCTAGAATTGATTAGGTACTCTTCGTCTAATGTTTAATCTGTTATAGACACTATTGATCAATTCTTAAAAGCATAATAAGATGTAAATTGACACGAATAAATTAATTAATAAAAACTCTTCCGGTTAACGGGTTAACTCATAAAATTACTTATGTAAAGAAAATCTATTGCTCGATTTCAATCACTATCAAATGCATAAAGCTATATCTATATTAGGGAGGTATTATATTTTCTAATTTCTACTATTCATATATTTATAGTAAAATAAATAATAAGTTACTATGTAGTTTGAATCTCATAATTTGTTGTGTATATTTTTAAAAAACCTACCTATTTTCGGCAAAATGCATCCGGGCCCTTAAAGTGTCAGACCGACAACTATATTAGATACTTAGACGATGTATTATGATTTATGAGTTTATGACTTAAGAGTGATGACGTGTGAAATAATATCTATTATTTTTATGACTTAAGTACTTTACTCTAAAACCAGTATAAGTTGATAGGCTAGTCGCTAGTGAAATATGCCCGATGCAAGTAAAATATAGCTTATAATAACTAGTAAACAATAGTAGTGGGTACTACTGTAATAGGTAATAAACTCACACAATACATAATTAAACAATATTTTTTTTTGTCTGTCCTTTTCACGTTCAACACGATAAAAACTATCCAGTTCTCATAACATTCAAAACATGAATAATGAAAATTATTTTTTATAAAAGGTTTTTGTTCTTTCCAAATTTTAGTATATTTTACATTTAATGATTATGCATTTTATATTTTAACTGATTAAGCCTTAGGCATAATCATTTCAGTACAATATACAACATAATATACTGCATAAGCATACCTTTATGATATTATGAGTTATGCCTTTATGACTTATATACAATTCATATAATACTGATGGATTACCAATTGACATGTGCAGTAAGAGTAATAAATGTAAGCAGGCTATGTAAGAGCTAATAATAATTAACATAATAACATAAAATGTTTTTAATTCATACATAGTATATACTTTTGTTAGCTATTAAGAGTCATTATCCCTTAAATTATAATATTATTGTGTTACAATAATTTGAAATAGGTATCTGTAAAACTTAATATATTGTCTTATTTAATATCAATTTGAATAACTTTCCAATTTTAAATATTTATTATGCCAAAAACGGAAAAAATTTAAACTCTATAAATTATAAATTATAATATGTATATTTATAATTTAATATAACATAATATATACATTATACATTAAATATACAATCTAAGGTAGGTATAAACACCTTATTTGGTGAACAAAATTCAAAAGTGTAATTGGAACAAAAAGAGTGCGAATTATTTTGTTTCACTATTTATTCATATTTTGAATTCATAATTTAGTGCAAAATTATAAACTAAAATTTATAAATTAAAATAAATCTAGTTTCATACTAATTTTATTATCGTTTTCAATTAAAATAATGTGCACAAAAACTTTAATTTATTTTTTCAAAGTCTCAATCAGAAACCCGACGTTATTACAGGTCTTTAATGTAAAATCAAGTGTGAATAATTAATTATTTTTAATACAAAATAAAGTTATTTATTAATTATTATTTTGTTACACTACAAGACGTATCATGTGGGTATAATAATATAGTATAAATGGTATTATTAAATACTGCTTAGTACCCATACTAAAGTAGTATTATATTTGCATGCGTAGGTAGGTATTGCAATTAACACTGAATATATTTTACTACTATAATGTATAGACAAGAACATAAATATTCAATAAGTTAGTAAAATGTATAAATATTAAATATTATAAAAATTATTTTGAATTAATTAAAAATAATATACTATGTGTATTGTGTATAAATGTATAAAATACAAGATGATCTATTTCAGTATATTAAATTTATATTTTTTTAAGTTTTATTTTTTAAAGTATTGTAGTTTTAATTTTAGGGGTGGTAGATTACACTTTTGCCCCTCGAGGATAATATCTGGGTGAACAATTGCCCCTTTGCCTCCTTCTCCAATGTCGCTGAAGCAAAGCGTTATTTATTTAAGCTGAAGGTTACATCAAAATATTAGAAAAATTAAAAAGTTACCCACGTGAATATAATGTCTATACTTTTGGTTTTAGCAAAGAGTTACTGTAATCTTCCACAGAAGCCTTGATATTGATTTCGTTGATATTTTCGATGATTAATAATTCGATATTCCTATTATTCCTTAAAGACTATACAGCTATACCCTTGTCAAAGATTAAAAAAAACGCATTGGTAGCCGGCAGGTGTATATGATACAATATTTCAAGGTGACATATTTGATACCTTACTGAATACAGAGTAACTATTTTTTTAGGCCCTTAGCTAGTAAAATGTATGGTCTTATAGAAATAATTTCTCATCATGCATAATACAAATAAAACTCTTTTCATGTAAACAGCCTTGTGACATCCAAAATTCAAAATATCAACTGAATATTCACTAATATTTAAAAAATGAATAGGTTCCAAATCGTTTCCGGCAATTCTGAACGAATAACCATTGATCATGTTATTTTAATGCAAATTGTATTCATAATAATAGTATTTTGTATAATTGTATTTACATTATAAATGTATAATACTACATCTAAATATAACTAATATGTTATATGAATATTGGTTGGTGTATAATGTAAGATATTACTGTATTAGGGTAAGGTTATATTATTATATAAAAAAAGGAGTAATTAGTTTATAATCGTATTTTTAGTTTTTATAATCAGGTCATGCATATAGGTATAATATTATGTAAGAATAGGTACTAAGTACCTGCTTTATTATAAAAACGTTTACAATCCACTAACATTTTTTATAGTTTTATATTTTGTGTTTGTTCAATTATATCAACATTGATTTTCTTCACATTAAAATGTAACTGTATGATATGTGTGATATCCATAGCCATGTTCAGATGATTATTTCGGATGATTCCTATATTAATATAATTATATCCCTCAAATACATCTATACTTTTTAGTTTTTACATAGTTTATTTAGTGCACACAGCTGTTGATTTATATAAATTAATTTTTCAATTAAAATCTCTTTGTAGTAGTATCGGAAATCATGTGGTACAGAGTCAATATTATCACCTATCAATAACAAATTAAAAAAAGGTTAATTTTACTTTAATTTATAACACATTTCATATATATTTAAGACTTTAAATGCCAATAGTGATATCATCATCAAGACACCAACTAATAAAGTTCAATAATATATGTACAACTGTCAATTTTACGGATCTATCTGAAAAGAAAAGTTAATAATTTTCAAAACAACGAAAGTGTTTACTGTCAAAATAATCATCGCCGATTCTTTGTAATTTTTAAGATAATTTTTAAATGTTAAAGAGAACAAATTTCACTACATCGTTAAAAATGCCAACTCTATATGATACTCGATGGTGATAATGAGGGCAATATATTATGCCTACCTGCTGTGTATTATTGAAATAATATGTTTTATATTTATTTCGATCACGGACACGCCGATGAGCGGCAACTCAGCCACCTTGGTAGGCAATGTGCGAAAATTCAATTGTATGCATATGCTTATACCTGATCCGCCTGATGAACCACTGCAGGCAACTAATAA